TGTTTATGCTGCAATTAACAAAAGAGATCCCTTTCTGAAAGTTTTGCTTGAATATTTTTTAGTTGTGCCAGTTGCTCTAGGAAAATATTATTCTCCTGGGCTTCAAATGTTTTCTCTAACAGTTTTGCAAATGTGTCCAGCACACAAAACACTTCGTTGTTGTTGTTGTTTTTTTTTTTTTTTTTTCTGGTTGTTTAAATGTTTAAAATTGTTGGGGAACTGAAATGACCCTAACTTTGGTGTAGATAAATATGTGCTACTTGTCTCCTCTTCTGTAGCTTACTCATTCCATTGTTATGCCTGAGAACTCACAGTGTTGTGGAAAACACCTGATTTGTGCTAGCTGGGCTTGAGAGATGGGGGAACCCATGGAAGCAACACCTGTCAGGAGCATGTCTCCCTCTCATGGTCATTCATCAGTACTACAGAAACCAAATGCACCCTGGAATAGGAAAGTAGAGCTCAAAACCCCTTACTTCGTAGGTGCGGTGTATTTTTTTCAAACCCCTCCCCATTCTGACCATATCTCCTTTCTACAGAGACAACTAGTTACATTGGGATAGTTGCTAGATCACTTTCAGTCTCTTGATGAGCACTAGATCACTTTCAGTCTCTTGATGAGCATTCAAGTATAATATTTTTGAAAGTCTGTCTGCATTTCTTAAGACTGGATAGGAACTTATATCACAAATATAGCCAAAACCTTTCTTATTCCTAATAAGAAAATTTTCTAAATGAAAACCCTACCCAAAGCAAATATTTCCTTTCACTTATTCATTCATTCACTCAATTGTATCTAATACAGCAATTCTCAACTCAATCCTGGCTGCACATTAGAGTCCCCTGAGCAACTTTTAAAAATGTAGATATCTGGGCCGTACTTCCAAACAATTCTAACTTGATCTTGGCTAGGGTCCAGGCACTGTTTTTTTTTGTTTGTTTGTTTGTTTTTTGAGACAGAGTCTCGCCCTGTCGCCCAGGCTGGAGTGCAATGGTGCGATCTTGGCTCACTGCAACCTCTGGCTCCCAGGTTCAAGCAAGTCTCTGCCTCAGCCTCCTGAGTAGCTGGGATTACAGCAGCCCACCACCACGCCAAGCTAATGTTTGTATCTTTAGTAGAGATGGGGTTTCACCATCTTGGCCAGGCTGCTCTTGAACTCCTGATCTCATGATCCACCCGCCTCAGCCTCACAAAGTGCTGGGATTACAGGCATGAGATGCCTCGCCCAGCTGGCACTGGTATTTTTTAAGCTGCTGCATGATCGTAACGTGCTGCCAGGTGGAAAACTGCTAAGCTAATATTCCTGAACACGTCTGATGTGCCAGTCACCGTGGTGGTGCTAAGGATTCAGTGGTAGAGATACTGCCGCAGAAGGTGACAGCTTTCTGCTATCACCATTCACAGGCCACACATATCATCTCCTCTGTCTAGAATACTTCCCTTGTTCATTATATAATTAATTCCTCATGCTTTGCACCTTAGATTAAATATCACTTATTTAAAGACATTGTTGCCCTTCTATCTAAATTAACTCCCATATTGTTTGCCCTCAAGGAATCTTTTCTCTTTCCCTTCATGACATTTATCCCGGTTGTAATTCTAGGCATTCCCCCGCCATTGGAACTCTCACAATCAAAACTCAGGACCAAATAGATTTTGGTAATTCTGGCTAACATTGGAGTGACTAGAGGCATTTTTGGGATCCAGCTAAGCAGAAATGCAGTTGGGGGTACTTTGGTTTGCATTTAATGGGACATGTTCATGTGGTTCGTGGTCACTTCCATGCAGATTTGGTAAGAAGAGGCAGACTTACCTGAAGAGAATGAAGTTTAAGCTTCAGGGCTCTTGCGGTAGACTGGATAACAGTTGCTCAGAGATGTCCACATGCTAATCCTAATCCCCAGAATCTATGAATATGTTGCTTTGCATGGTAAAAGGGGCTTTGCAAATGTGATTAAGTGAAAGATCTTGAGATGGGGAGATTATTCTGGATTATCTAAGTGTGCCCAGTATAATCACAAGGGTCCTTATAAGGAGGCAGGAGAATCATAGAGGAAATGCAAGGACAGAAGCAGAAGTCAGAGGGGAGAAAAGATGCTACACTGCTAGCTTCAAGGATGGAAAAAGGAGCCATGAGCCAGGGGATGTAGGTGGCTTCTAGGAGCTGGAGAAGGCATGGCAACTAACTCTCCAGAGAATCTCCAGAAGGAAAGCACTTCCCGCACTTTGATTTTAGCTCAGTGAAACTGATTTTGGACTTCTGACCTCGAGCTGTAAGATGATTCTTGTTTTAAATTATTAAATTTAGGATAATTTGTTACAGTGACAATAGGAAGTCAATATACAGCCCTCCCTTGTTCAGACCCCTTCCAAGACCCTGGGAAGCAGTCTGGAAATGTGTTGACATGGTTATATGTTTTTGTAAAGCTTGCAAAATTAAAATACTTTACCTACAATTGATTAAGATTTCTCTTTCCACTCAGACTTCCTGAGTATTCTTCTACTGGCTAACATCGGAGTGACTAGAGGCATTTTTGGGATCCAGTTAAGCAGAAACGCAGTTGGGGGTACTTGGGTTTGCATTTAATGGGACATGTTCATGTGATTCATGGTCACTTCCATGCAGCATTAAGTTATTGCTGGAGTGTAGCAATGGCTTCTATGAACGCTCCTGTATTAGTCCGTTCTCACACTGCTATGAAGAAATACCTAAGACTGAGTAATTTATAAGGAAAGAGATGTAATTGACTCACAGTTGAATCACAGTTCTGCATGGCTGGGGAAGCCTTAGGAAACTTACAATCATGGCAGAAGGCATTTCTTGACAGGCTGGTAGGAGACAGAATGAGTGCTGAGCAAAAGGAGAAGCCCCTTATAAAACCATCAGATCTCATGAGAACTCACTCGCTCTCATAAGAATAGCATAGGGGAAACTGCCTCCATGATTCAATTATCTCCACCTGGTCCTGCCCTTGACCTATGGGTATTATTATAATTCAAGATGATTTTGGGCAGGGACACAGCCAAACCATATCAGCTCCCAACAGCCACTGTGTCAAAGTGCCCAGGTGTGGTAACATGGAGTCATAGAATATGTGCAGCATGCAGTTCACTTCTTTAATCTCATCAGAGAAAAAGCTGTCTTCACTATCCCTAAATTTTTTCATATCAATCAAAAGCAGTAATTCATGAAGAGGAAGAGATAAATTTGAATAGAAGTACAAGGAGAGGCTCTCAGATTGTTGGATGAGTCAACTAACGAAGAGTAAATCTTACAAATATACTGGGAAAAGCTTTAATTTCCTTGCTAATTTGGCATAATTTATAGGCATCAGTGGAGATATTACAAACTCAATACATGACCACAAGGAGGACATCAATAACGAACTGATTAATAAATGTCATCAATTTAACAAGTAATATTGCTGATTAGTCATAGCACAATAAAATGTGAAATGCCCTGAGATCTTAAAACTTTTTTTTTTTTTTTTTTGAGATGGAGTCTTGTTCTGTTACCCAGGCTGGAGTGCAGTGGTGAGATCTCGGCTCATTGTGACTTCTGCCTTTTGGGGTTCAAGGATTCTTGTGCCTCAGCCTCCTGAGTAGCTGGGATTACAGGTGTGCAACACCATGGCTGGCTAATTTTTGTATTTTTAGTAGAACCGGGGTTTCACCATGTTGGCCAGGCTGGTCTCGAACTCCTGACCTCAAGTGATCTGCCCACCCCAGCATCCCAAAGTGCTGGGATTACAGGTGTGAGCCACTGTGCATGGCCAGATCTTATAATTCTTACATGAAAGAAATTTAATAGTGATTTCCTCAAATATGACAATAGTCCTAAACCTTTACATGACATTTTCAAGAACAAATTATTGGACGGGGTAGATGGTCCTTGAATGAATGAACCACGAGATACCCTAGAGCAGGTGTGTCCAATCTTTGGGGTTCCCTGGGCCACATTGGAAGAAGAATTGTCTTGGGCCACACATAAAATACACTAACACCAGCAATTGTTGATAAGCTAAAAAAAAATTGCCAAAAAAAAAAAAAACCCTCATAATGTTTTAAGAAAGTTTACGATTTTGTGTTGGGCTGCATTCTAAACTGTCTTGGCTGCATGCAGCCTGCAGGTGTGGGCCATGGGTCGGACAAGTTTGCCATAGAGGGTGGCTTGGTTGGATGAGGGTGCTAGAAATCAGAGGACAGTCACTGTGCAATGGGAGTTGTCTTGGCTTTAGGACTGCAGTTGGTAAACTGAAAAAAAGAAAAAACTAGTTTTGCATGAAAGAATGTTTCCAGCATATGAATGTCCCACCGTGCTTTTAGTTAGTCTTGACTGTACATGTTGCAATAAACCAAGCAACCCTACAAAGTAGGATGGAAGGATTAAAACCGAATCGCTTAAACTGGGAAGGCAGAGTTTGGAGTATGCAGTGAGCCGAGGTTGCGCAACTGCACTTCAGCCTGGGCGACAGAGTGAGACTTCGTCTAAAAAAAAAAAATTCAAACTGCTTTTGAAAAAAATAAAAATGCAGGGTTATATTTTAGAAATAGCGCAGCCAATCATTAGTGGCTATTCCTGATATGTCAATTTGGGGTCTATAGAAGACCTGCCTAGCGGCCAGTAACTATTAATTGATGCTTACTTATAGCACCTAATGAAACTGCCCTTGCCTTTGAAGCCCCCATTTAGCTAAGGGGATTGGATGTGAATTTAGAATAGGACGTGAAAAGTGCGAAATGCTCCCGGACTCAGATCGGATAAACCTCTTCTCTTCTAGGTTGTCTTTCTCTTCTGAAGCCACAGTTTTGATGCTTTCCCTAATTCAGAGCAAGCTTTCCCCGAGTCTCTGACTCAGAGCTGCCCGAGCCACCGTGAGGACAGCCCACCTGCAGGGGGCGCGCCGGGGGCTGCAGCGCGAGACCGCTCTGGCCCAGCTGGGACTCCGACTGCGCCCGTCTGGCCCCTCCCCGCCGCCCGTCACCGCCGCTGGGAAGCTGCTGCTGTCGCCGCCGCTCGTTGGAGTCGCAGGTAACTGGCCCGGGGCCCATGGGCAGACAGAGCCTGGGCGAGAGCCACCTGATACCTCCTGCACCGTCCCTGTGGCACTGGAGGTCCAGTAGGCCTGGCCGAGGGTCCTGAGGGGCGAGGGTGCCCCGGCTCCCCGCACCTTCCGCGGCGACTGGAGGGAGCCGGGCCGAGGAAGCGACCGCGGGTCCGTGATGGCTTCTTCGCGGTCTGTGTGTTCAAGAGGGCCGGGAAGAGGCCTGCGAGGGTTCTCGTTTGCGCTTGCGGGTTAGGGCTGTGGTCCGGGGAACCCCTCGGCGGCGCGGGCAGCGCTGGCTCGCGGTTAATCTGGGGGTGAGCGCGGAAGCCCCGCTGTAAGTCCAGCCGCTCGGCCAGGGCGAGACGGTGCTTTCGCGGTGTGTGCTTGGAGGAGCGCACAGTTCAGGCGCCGGGACAAGCTGTTGGGGTGTGAGTGAGCTCTCCAGAATGGCACATTTAACACGGGGTGCCCGTGTTAAAAGGCAGGATTTGCACACCTTCCACTTAGGGCTCGGGTAATCGCAAACTTCCTTTCTGAATTGGTATGCAATGCTAAAAAGCAGATCCTTCTCTCTGAGGTTTTCCCAAAAGTACCTCAAGAAAAAAACATCTATTTTTTAAAACGTTCCACGGTATTCGGAATTGGCTACAGAACGTAATAAAGTAAAAATATGCCATTGAATAGTAACACTTCTCAATCTTTAAAAAATGACGGTGGTACCTAGGAGCCTCTTAAAGAGCTGTGATGTGAGTGGTGTGGGGATTATTTTTATACTCTAGTAATAGCTATTTTCAGTGCTTATTTTATGTCAGACACGGTGCCGTTGCTTTAAATACCTAGTACCTTTAATCCTTGAAGCAACCCTATCAGGTACCATTTCCATTATACAGATAGGGAAACTGAGGCACCGAGAGTCTGACTTGTCCAAGGTCAGACAGCTAGCAAAGGCTGAGCGAGATTTGGTCTCATCTTCCTTACCTCAGTATCCCTGCGTCTGTTATCTAGCCAGACATGTAGTGCTAAGAGTTTTATCAGTTAGATTTGTAGCCTGAACAGTTTTCTCTCAGGCTTAGTTTTCATGGCTATATGCAGGAGTCCTATATGAACTCCTTTTTAGTTTAAAAGGAGTTTAATAAGAAAAATGTTAGCTCATTAAGGACTATAGTGATAATAAAGTTAAACTTGGACTGGGGTTCTCACTGTGCCAGTACAATTTGATTTGAAATCGAGATGAATTTGTTTGGTTGTTAACACACTTTATTACATTTCTTCATTATTTATGTTTCCATACCATTTTTAATGAGTTCACTTTGCCTTTGCAATATTATGATAGCAGTACCAGAGGGAAATCAAATATTTTTTGATGATAGTAAGTTAATATTTTACAGAATACAGGAAAGGCATTGGAGAGAGGCTGTGAAGTGATAAGGAATTTTTGGCATGTTATTTAGAGTAAATTGTGTTACTTACTATGGAAAACAAGGGATTCTCACAGTTCTTTGTCAAAAGGGAAATTGTATTTCCCATTGTGGAAAGAAGTTGGGCTTTATAGTCCCGAAGGGGAACATCACACACTGGGGCCTATCATGGGGAGGGGGGAGGGGGGAGGGATTGCATTGGGAGTTATACCTGATGTAAATGACGAGTTGATGGGTGCAGCACACCAACATGGCACAAGTATACATATGTAACAAACCTGCACGTTATGCACATGTACCCTACAACTTAAAGTATAATAATAATAATAATTTTAAAAAAAGAATTTGCATATTCGGCATCCATATAGCAAGCATATATTGAGTGCCTTCTATGGCCAGGCTCTGTTCTAAGCACTTGGGATGTGAGAGTGAACAAATGAAGTCCTTGTCTTCCAGGAGCTAACATGTCACTGGGGGAAGGTGGGGTTGGGGACAATAAACAGAATTTGTGAAAGTTAATGTATCTGCAGTTAGCTGGTAACAGTTACTAAGAAGAAAAATAAAGTAGCAAAGGGGGATAGGAAGCACCAAGGCAGGAACAGGTGCAGTTTTAAAATAAGGACTGGTGCCATGGAAAAGACTCAAGCAAAACTGAAGGCATCGGGGACCGCCATGCAGCTGTCTAGGGAAAGAGCATACGAAGCAAGGGCAAAAGCCCAGAACCCGTCAGTCTCACTGGAGGAACAGCAAGGGAGGAACAGCAAGGAGGCCAGTAGATTTGAGCACCCGAAGGGAAGGAGGATGAGACAAGGTCAGAGAGCTAATGGGCCCGGGTAAGGACTTTTGCTTTTACTTTGAGTAAGAAGGGAGGTGGTTGGAGGGTTTTGAGCAGAGGAGTGAGGGGATTTTTAAAGGATCATTCTGGCTGCTGTGTTCAGAGTTGACTGTAAGGGCAAGGATGGAAGCGGGCAACCTGTTAGGTTGATGCAGTAATGGAAGCCAGAGAGAATGGTGGCTTAGACCAGGTGGGTAGTAAGAAAGGCAGTAAGAAGCTGTCGTATTCTGAATATTGCTGGTAGGATTTGCTTATGGTTTGGATGTGCTTATGAGAGGAAGGGTGAAGCATGACTCTGTGGCCTTTGGCCTGAGCTATTGGAAGGCTTTAGTTACAGTGTACTGAGATGGAGAAGACTGAATGTGAAGGTAGGTGGAGCCAGTTTTAGTCAGGTTTGAGATGCCTGTTCAAGTGGAGTTATAGAGACGGGAGTTGAAGAGAAAGGTCCAACTGGAAATAGAGGTTTGGGAGTCACTAATGCAAGCGTGTGCAACCCAAATTTGTAAACTTTCTTAAAACATTAATGAGATTGTTTGCATTCTTTTTAAGCTCATCGGCTATCGTTATATGTGTGGCCCAAGACAGTTGTTATTCCACTGTGGTCCAGGAAAGCCAAAAGATTGGCCACCCCTGCATGGAAGGGTGGTATTTAAAGCCATGAGCCTATGAGATCTAGTGTAAGGAAATGAGAATTGAGCCCTAGGGCTTTCCACATTCAGATATTGGAGAGAAGGTATGAGGGAAAGGGGCCTAGTATGGAGTACTGAAGGCCAAGTAAAGAGTATTTCAGGGAGAAAGTGGCCAACTGTGTCACCTCCTGCTGATTGACAAGTAAGATGAAGACTAGGAGATGACCATTGGATTTAGTAATAGGAAGGTCCTTGGTAACCTTGCAAAAGCATTTTCAGGAGAATAGTGAGGAAGAAAACCTGATTGATGTGGTTTCAGTAGACAACAGGAGGAAAGGAATTGGAGACTGCAGTATGGGCAGCTCTTTGGAAGAGGTTAGCTGTAAATTTTTCATATGTCGGTTATTTGAAAGTACTGTAGTCATTCCCATAATAAATTTTTATTTCTAACTTAAGCTACTGATTAATACCTACTACACTTGAATTGTTTTATCAATGACTGGTGGAAATAAAATAGCTATCCTACTGCTAATTATAATAATAATGTATACTTAACTTTCTAAACCAGTAAAGCTTGTCCTTTTTACATGGTACATTTCAGAGCCCATAAAAATGCTTGGGGGAGCTGGGCGCAGTGGCTCATACCTGTAATCGCAACACTTTGGGAGGCTGAGATGGGAGGATCTCAGGAGTTCGAGACCAGCCTGGACAACATAGTGAGAGCTCATCTCTACAAAAAATTTAAAAATTAATTGGGCGTGGTAGCACACAGCTGTGGTCCCAGCTACTTGGAAGGCTGAGGTGGAAGCATCTCATGGGCCTGGGAGATTGGGGCTTCAGTGAGCCATGATTGAGCCACTGCATAGTTTCAAAAGGTAGTAAGTGTGTAAAAAGAGTGCAATTTTAACCTTAAGACATGAGTTCAGGTTCTTGTTTCTGCCCTCAGCAAGTTAATGTCCAAACCCAAATACAAAATAATCAAGGTATGCAGTAAAATACCAGATTTACACTATCCTGACTGGACACATGTGCCTTTTCCATAGCAAATACAGCCATCTGTTGCATTGTAGATGTAAAATGATTAAAATATTTCAAAGTTTAGGGTTATAGCTACTGATTTTTTAAATCCAATAATTTTATCTAAAAGGTGACAGGTCCTTTATGCATTGAAATCTTTTTTTCTTTTTAGCTGAGGAAAATACTAAGTTGGTGCCTTTTGTTTTCTTCTTCTTTTTTTCTCCAGGAATTTTTCATTGATTGGCTTTCCTTTCTTGTTCTCATTGCTGTCATCTCACACATCCTTTCTTACTTTTTTCTTTTGCATAGCTTCTTAAGTTAGGCCCTTCCATCACTGATTTCCTTACTGCTTACAATTTGGATTTTAAATTTCTGTTGTGTTTTCATTTAACTTAGTCTTTTTTTAAAGTCCCAATCTTCTCCAATACTGTTTTTCCTGCACCCTGAGTTCTTAATTTTTTGTATGTCCCTGAGAGCACAGTGTTTTTCTGGATTTTTTTCATTTTCTTATGGTAAATAATTCTCAGTGGTGTGCTTTTCTTCATGTAGATCTAGTGTACCTCTTTGCTTCTGGTGTAGAATTTTTTCACTGACTCCATGTTGACTTTTTTTTTTTTTATCCTTTAAAAATGAAAGAACTTTTGAGACTATAATTTTGAATTTGTCATACTAGTACCATTCTACTGAAGATTTTCTCTAGATTTCCTATAAGGAAAATAGAGAATTGGGTTTTGTCTAGGCATTCTATAAAAAACACTATTGTGATGTTTGTAAAAGATTTCTATTTAAAATAACTTTCAGTATTATTAAAACTTAAGTTTATGGTTTTATCTTTGTGAAGGTTTTTTTTTTTTTTGGACGTGGAGTCTCACTCTGTCACCCAGGTTGGAATGCAGTGGCACAATCTTGGCTCACTGCATGAAACGATTCTTCTGCCTCAGCCTCCTGAGTAGCTGGGATCACAGGCACACACCACCACACCTGGCTAATTTTTGTATTTTTAGTAGAGATGAGATTTCACCATGTTGGCCAGGCTGGTTTCTAACTCCTGACCTCAAGTGATCCATCTCAGCCTCTCAAAGTGCTGGTATTACAGGCATGAGCCACTGTGCCTGGCTAAGTACTTTTTTTTTTTTCCCCTTGTGTTTTTTTTGAGACAGGGCTTTGCTCTGTTGCCCAGGCTGGAGTGCAGTGGCACAATCATGGCTGAATGCACCCTCCACCTCCCGGGCTCGAGTGATCCTCCTGCCTTAGCCTCGAGTACCTGGG